AAAAAAAAAAAAAAAAAAAAAAAAGAAAAAGAAACTAAAAGCAATAATTTGGTTTATTACTGTTTTTTTGCTAAATAAGAGCTACTTTTTTCTCTTTATGTTCCATAATGAATTGGATTCAAAAGCAGCTTTCGAAAAAATTTTGAAATTGTTCTTTTGTTTTGTTTTACCTTCTATATCATTTGTAAACAAAACTGGCATATAAGATAGAAAATTTTGTTAGTCATTGTCAGCTGCTGCTGTTTAGACATTTTCTTCTAAATATCCTCTAAGATTGAACTGAATTAAGCAGCAATAAACAACAGTAACCTGAACAGTTAGGAATACTTGTTTTCTTTGATAGTTATACAGCAAATAAAAAAATCTTTTTTTTTTTTTTGTTTTTGCTTCTTTTCCATAATTATCGTTAATGTGTTTTCAAAAAAAAGAGATCAAACAGATGAAATGGGGCCGGAAAAGAATAAACAACTAAAAAATCTGTGATGGATATCTACAAAAAAGAAGAAAAAACGAATTTTAATAGACAACGATACTGTCATCTGATTGTTGAAAAACATAGATTAAATCTTTGGTTAACAGTTCTTAACAGAAGTAAAAAAGAAAAAAAAAGAATTTGTTAACTATTAAATGTTAAATGCATGTTTTTTTGAGTGAAAAGAAAACAGGATAGAAGGAAAAGGTTTGTTCTTTTTTTTTTTTTTGAAATTATAATCTATTTTTTTTTGTTATGTTTACCTGCATAGTTAATCAGCAAAAATATAAGTGAAACAATACAAGCATTTTTTTAAGATCTGCCCTTTTCAGTTTTTTTCAACTCTTTGTTCTTTGTTCTGCTTTTCGTTATATTGGAAATTTTAAATGCATATGAAAACTATGATGCTGTTTTGTCTGAGTTTTTTTTTTTAAGATTTACATATGCAAGTCATCCAAGCTTCAAAAAGTTCTTGAGACAGAACTAATGTCATTTAGCATTGAACTTATCAAAAGATGAACTCAGCATGAATTCTAAGCAATCCTTGTTTTTACCATATATTTTCTTCCCCATCATCGTCGTCTGTTCAATCAGAACAATCCAATTGAAAAAGGGGATTTTCTTCTTTTTACACTTATAAGCTCTGCTATCAATAAGCGTCTAATAATTACATTTGTTGAGCCAAAAAAATAAGATCCAAAATGTAAGCAGTTTAAAGCAAACAAAATTTATTCAATCGTATTGTCTTTGC